ATATATATATATATTGTCAAATAAATTAAATAATACATAATAACTTTTTGAAGGTTTTTTATAATGTCATTTGATACAATTTACCATGTATTTTATTAATTGGCAATGTAATAAATTTGACTAACAAGAGGCTTTTTAAACTCTGAACAAAGTGATGGTTGATACTAATGCTTGTTGTTATCATTAAGGGTGACAAAATAGTCTGTATCAAAATTGGGTCAAGATGGACTCATCTTATAGTAAACGTAGATCGGAATCCATGACCCATCCCACTATAGAGTGGAGCGATGGGCTAGCTCGACAGATTTTTTTTCATTAAAAATATTCTATTAAACATTCTTGCACTTAAAAAACAGCGAAAATTGAGAAACCAAAATTAATGTTTATTGGCAGTAGAATATTAAAGATAAAGATAAAGTAACATATAGGAAGCTTAGAAAGCGACCCTTTTTTGTTGTTGACAGTTGACACACATAGCTATGGACTATTGGAGTTATTAAATAGAAAAGGCAAGCAGTAAAAGTCAGGCAGCATTGACGGCAATTTTCATCCCAGACTCGCAGTGACCTACAAAGTTGCAGATGAAGTAGTTCTGTCCCTTAGCTAGTCTTATCTGATCCTTCCCTGATCGATACACTTTGGCTCCTCTGGGAGTCTTGCAGCTATCGTACCCTCCCTTGTTCACTGCCACCACATTGTGAGTCCCAGGCCCATAATTGAAGACTACACAAAATCACTTCAAAACTTAGATAAAATCAAACAAGGAACCCCCTGCATCCATTAGAAAAATAGAGGAAAGATACTGACCAAGTGTGTCACCGGCCCTAAAACGCTTTCCATTGGGCCACCCAACAGAGTTGAAGGTCCAACCTGCTGGGCCTCCAACTTTGTAGGTGGCAGCCCGAGCCATGTGAGAGTGAAGCAGGAAGCAGAGTAGTAGCACCATTGCACTGCCTCTTCCCAGAGCCATGTCTCTTAATTTTAGTTAGATAGAGATAGAGAGATTTGTTTGGTGGTAAGACTTAAGAGGGTTATGAAAGAAGCATGCTTATATAATGGAGGAGTGAGGGGCCCACACCCTTAATGGGTGGTTGGTTAATTAGTAAATACCACAGCACTGGAAACAGGACTCGGTGTCCGAGAAATTGTGACCAAACCCACATGCGTCTGCCGAGACTTATCGTCAACGTAGAAAATTAAAAATCGTACTTGCATCTCAAAAATCTACATCAAATTTATTAAAATAGAAATAAGTAATAATTTATAAAATATAATTTTATTTTAATAATAAAAAGACATTTTTTAAATAATAATAAAAATTTATATTTAAAATAAATAATATCTTATTATTATAGACTTATTTATTTAATAACCTTATAAAAAAAATCCAACAAAATTTTACTATTTAGAATCGGTGGAATAATAAGGTTGTTACGACACTTGCACCATGTGCAGAGTCATTGACGGATGCTTCCCTCAAAAAAAATAAGGTTGTTACGATCTTATCTGGGAAGCGCACAGTTGGAGTCATAAGAATGATATCGATTTGAATTATTCTATTAATATAATAATTAATAATTAATATTTTTCTTGAAAAAAAAATTGAAATACATGATGTGATACTATACTTCGAGTAAGTAAGATCTCGAGGGGGAAAATGATGGATTGAGTGCTACTAAGTTCAACTTTCATAAATAAAATTTTGGGTTTCATTCTTATATATAGAAAAATATGGTTGAAAGGTATGTTTTTGTTAAGGGTGATTAATCATTTTCTCTTACAAACCAATGATTCTGTTTCTTTTATAAAAAAAAATTGCACGAATTAGTTCGATTATCAAATTAAAATGTGAGACCAACTTAAATCAAATTCAATCACATTTATATGTAAATACGTAATTTTTTAAATGCATAGTATATATATACATCATTCACAATAAGAAAATGTGTTTTACAAAGTTACTATAAAAAGTGTTTTTTTTTTCCTTCAAATATATACTATAATATATTTGATTTAAATAAATTATTTTATAGAATTATAAGTTATTAAATTGACCTTTGGAATGAAAAATTGTAAATTATTCAAAACATTCAAGAATAATTTTATTTTAAGTGAAGAAAACATTTAATATAATAATTAAAGTTGTATTGAATTTTTTTTATAAAAATAATAAGATAAGAATTGATATTAAATATATTTGGTGATAGAAAAATTTCAATATTTATATATTTTTAACCTTATTTTAGATGTTAAACTCTTAAATAAATAGCATAATATTATAAAATTTTAGGTAATTTTTTGAATAAGAAATTTGAAAACTCGCAAAAGTCTAACTAAACAAAATCACAAGAGATTGCTTTGGTTCAAATTGTTAATCTTAGTGAAACTAGACTTGATTTTCTTAAATAAGGTTTATGTTTAAGTCTTATAAATGAAAAAAAAAATATTATACTATAATTAACTTTTTAACAAAAATTAATTATTAATAAAATTGATAAATATTTCATATTAATAATATATTTTATTTTAAAATATATATGTGTATATGTATGAAACATTATATTATTTTACATAATGTCCCACAAGAGGACACAACTAATTAAATTTTGTTGGTTCCTATTAGTTAACACTTCGATCCATAATTTCACTAAAACTTCTCAAAGAAATTGACGATTAAATCTTATATAAGTTACATCTTATATCAATCTAAATTTTATATTACCAATAGAAACTACACAAGTCAATAAATAAATATTTAATAAAACAAATGTTTTATCTATTAAAATCAAACTTTATATTAAAAGAGTTTATAATATTTGACGCAGTCAGCCGAACTCTAAAAACTATCATTCTAACACAGTTTCCATGATAAAAGAAGAAAGGTGTTGTGACAAATGGGCAGAAATTGAGCAAGTGTAGAACACGAAAAGTAATGAGTCTGTATGAACGTGTTTGCCGCCTTAATTAAAGTTGTGGCTTGTGCTATTACTTTGATATAAATTAAAATGCGATGTTGTGTGAGTGGTTAAAGTTAATTCAAAATTCCCAGTCAGTGGATTGACATGATTTGATCTTGAGCTGTGCCTAACGCATTTCCTTACACAATCTGTGCCAACCTACCTACCACCTTGCCGCTCCCTATTCTTTCAATTATTCAATCATAATTGACTACCATTTCTAGCTACTTCTAATTTACGGTCCACAATTTCGGCCCAATATCATCTCATATTTACTGCCTTGGGGCCATATCCAAGACCTCAACAAAAACAGACAACTAAAATATGTACGTTATATATATATATATATAAATGTATCTTGACCAAGGATTTAGGATTTAGGCAACAAAAAAATTATTATAGGCAACAATTTTTTTTCTCTAATTATATTATATAACTATATATTCAAGGTTCGAAATCAAGATTACTTATTAAACTAAATTTTTTTTATCCTAATTAATTCAGTCTCTAGTTAGTTTTCCAGGACGGGAAGGATAAGATGTCCAAATTTTATGATGTTTGAATCCTAAATTCATGATATATTACCATTTAGAAAAATATTATTAACTCCTGTGTCTTAGCAAGAATTTTACCCATACGGTTAGCTTTTTTTACGGTATAGGTTAACACTAAAGCTGATAATTGTTTGTCGTTGTCCAAACACAATCTGTACAACTCCAAAGCGTGTGATCTAACGGCACGCTTAAGCAAGGTCAGAGGTTTGAATTCTGCCTTGTATATGTAGCCGCGTTAAATCTTGGGATTAGCTATCCCACCTTTTGAGGTGCCTCCAATGTAGCGAGAAGATTAGTCATTGCTATCTGTGACACCCTTACTACCCCAACACATATATAATATATTTCCTGAAAAAAAAATACTTTTGTAATGGATATATGTTGGGATACAGCAAGTCTCACATTAATAAAATAAGAGAAAAAATAATAATTTATAAAACACAAACATATTCTAATGATTGAGAGGATTTTTGGATGATGACCAAAAGGAAAATCGTGAGGGATTAGGTCCAAAGTAGAGCGGACAATATCTCATCATTATGGATATGCATGTAAAAATAACTCTCATAAAATATCCTCTCAGACAAATATCATAAAATAACCCCATCAATATAACATTTCATACTTACATCTTTTCATGAACGAACATGTACTTCTATCATATGAATGAGTAACCACTTCCATGAAATGACAAAACATTTCATATTTGTATATTTTCATTAATAAATATATATTATCTTGTTGTATAACCTTTCATTATATCTTTTCATATAAATCGACATGTATTTTTTGTAAAAGATTATTTATTTATATTATTAATTTTATAAATCTCTCGATGTATATTCATGATAAGAAATGCAAGTTCCAACTTAAATTGAAATTGTTATCATACCCTTAAAAACTACTAATATATCATTTGTAAAAAGAGTAAGGTAATTATGATATACCTTTTTTTTAACGGCTGAGCCTTAGCTTAATTCATTAATAATAAGAGAGAAGATACAATTAAGGATGTATATAAAATCCTTAAGATTAACATAACATTTGAAGACTTTTGCAAGATTGGCAGCCATCAAATTAGCTGATCTATGGGTGAAACTTACATTAAAGTTGGCACAAGAAATTATCTTATTACTACAATGATTTATAATGTCACTAAATTCAGTTTTATCCTTCAGGTTGAGATGAAGGAAAAAACTTTCAATTCTGCTGCTACTAAATTCGAAAACGATGGGTGCATATTGTTTTTTTGAAGCCAAAATGATGGCTTGCATGAGAGCAATAACATCTCTAATATTGGCAGGAGGAAGACTAGGGATCTTGAGGGTGCACGCACCCACAAAGGAACCCAAGTTGTCTCTAATGCAGAAACCAATTTCGAACGTATTCTCATCAGGGTTAGGGAATGTGGCAAAATTGCACTTGTATGAACCACGAGGTGGGGGAGACCATTCAGTAGTCGAGGTGGGTTCAGGAATACCTCTAGCAGCAAGAGGCTGCTAGTTAGCCAAGTCCAATTGTGTATGGAGTTTCAGGCACGGTGGACAATTTCAGATATATTCCAAGGCATATCTTTCCATAGGAGATTGTTCCTGCTAGTCCAGATACTCCACATCAACGTGCAGAAGTCAACTGCATTGAAAGTGGACCAAAGATTAAGGATTTTGTTCACAAGATCAATAGTACCATTAGCTTTATCAATGCTGGAGTTCATCTTGTCCTTTAGATTACTAGCCATCCATCAATTTCTCGCATCATAACATCCAAACAACGCATGGCAGGAATTCTCGATACCAACATCACATCTTGGGCAACTGACGGGGCAACTCACACCTTTCTTTTGAAGCTGGGCACGGGTAGAAAGGATATTTTTATAGACTTTCCATGTGTGATGTTTCACTTTCGCAGGAATAGGAAGACTCTTAATAATGTTCCAAGTTTTGTCAAGATCCATAGGGTTAGTTGGGAGGAGAGAGTTTGTTATGGCGTTGTACGCAGTCCTGATTGTGAAGCATCCGTCATTGGACCATTTCCACACGTAAAGTCATCCGTGCAGTGGCTGTAAATGGGAGTGGATATGATATACCTTACATAACAAGGTTCGTACTCGACCTCGACATAACAAGGTTCGTACTCGACCTTGGTTAAGAAAATGTAATCTCAAGTTTCGGACTCGACCTTGGCATAACAAGGTTCGTACTCGACCTTGGTTAGGAAAATGTAATCTTAAGGTTGGGACTCGACCTTGGCATAATAAGGTTCGTACTCGACCTTGGTTAAGAAAATGTAGTCTCAAGGTTCGGACTCGACCTCGGCATAACAAGGTTCGAATTCGACCTTGGTTAAGAAAATGTAATCTCAAGGTTCAGACTCGACCTCGGCATAACAAGGTTCGAATTCGACCTTGGTTAAGAAAATGTAATCTCAAGGTTCGGACTCGACCTTGGCATATCAAGGTTCGAACTCGACCTTGGTTAAGAAAATGTGATCTCGAGGTTCGGACT